CGGCCGAAAATGGTGGAATGGTTTTAGGGTTTGATTTTATGGAGATATGATAATAACTGTTGAAATCTTCCTTCTATCTTCTGGGAGCAGGGACTGAAATTAATGTGCTCTACAAGTGAGCCATTGAAAGTGATGATATCTGGGGCACCAACATCGGGAAAAGGGACTCCATGTGAGATGGCTGAGAAAGTGAGTTAATATCATGTTCAAACTCTCTGTCATTAGTTGCTAAGAAAACTTCTGCTTTTCACTCTCGCCGGCGAGGAGATGTGCCGCCAACGGCACAGAGACAGGGAGGAGAGGGAGAGTCGGTGGCGATTTTCTGAGAGAAATGGGGAGAGAGAATGGGTAGGAGTGGAGATAATGGAAGAGTATGTGAAATGAATTTTTAGGGTTTGATTTGGGTTATTTTAATTACGATGAAATAATATAATTAATATTAAATTAAATATAAAAAATCTGATTTTTGAAAAGTTAAACTTGTGATGGGATTTATGAAAATGAAAATCTAAAACTAGGGCTAGGTGTAATTTCCTTTATTTTGTTTCCATCTTTCCCTTTTTGGTTGGATATATTTTCGAGTAAAAGAAATTTATTTCTTATGCAAAGTATGTTTGAAGAAAATGTGCATGTTGAACGTCATTCTAAAAATAAGTCAATAAACTTGATTGATGAATGATTAATAAGTGTATCACTTATTCAGGACTTAAAATAGTTTATATTTGGTAGTTCATTTAAGCAAATATAACAAATCTATTGTATATTTTGATTATTATGTAAAATTCGATTATTGAAAGTGGAATTGAAAGAAAGAAGCGAAAAACGACAAAAAAAGTATAAGTCCAAAGTTTGAGAACTAAATTGAAAATATTCAATAGTTGATTTGGACCACAAGACGATACTTTAAAAATTGCTAAGAGACAATTAGATGGAATTAGAAATAAAAAATGAATGGAATATGATCGCAAATCAATTTCCAATTGTACAAGTTATATTCCATATTTTTAGTCAAAAATTGAGACTTATTTTTACATATTAAATGTTCGAATTAAAAAAATTAAATTTATAGTAAAGTTGTATCATTTTGAGTTAGTTTTCCAATGCACTTAAAATCGCCTCAGGATATCGGGAGAGAAAGTTATGACTAAAATCGAATCAATTTTAAAGTTTAGTGCTTGTAAAAAAACGTGAATATAACTCTAACTCACGTTGATCTAGTTAGCACCGAGTCACAATGACCGTCTAAATTAGTCTCGAAAGTGCTTCACCACTAACTGGAATAAGCATTTAAAGATGTAAATGGAACTCATTGCCAAAACAAACACAATTTATCCAGTAAGCCACACCTTTTATACATATATTAACATATCTCGTGTCATATTATACTACAAACATGACAAAGTTCGATGCAAAAACTCTCTTTACAATCCTGTTGAGGATGTCACAAATTGTCAAAACAACTACTAGGTACATTTCACAAAGGTTGATAATCATCATCAATCTGTCTCGTGATCAAGCACCGGTGAATACCAAGCTGGGGATCATCCTCTGGCTCTAAGCAATCTTGTGAAGGGCGAATTCGACATTTTAGCTTTCTCCTCTTCCTCTAGCTCGTCTAATGTCTTGGGCAAACCATCCGAGACCGGACAAGGCACCGTGTCTGTATTCTCGGCAGTCGATTGTTTCATCTACTCCTTGCATTCTTTCTTTGCTTTGTGAATTGATGCAACTCCATGTACACATCCAATTAGGGATTTTGCACCACCAGCTTCAATAATTAGTCTATCTCCACTTTTGGGGCCTCTTCCTGATGAATACCATAATAGCCAAATCACGTTAGTTTTTTAATCCAATAGGTTTTGTGACTATCTGAAAATATTTAATAAAGGTGAATTCATCGCATAATATTCTTGCTAAGGTAGAAATTTACGCTATGAGTGATTACACACTACTATAAACGAAATTTTAAGTTCTTTTTCGACCTGCGACAATTTAGAAGTAACTTAAAAGTTACTGGGGGATTTATGTAATTGGCCTGGTCAATTATGCTTTTTAAATTATGTTGGAAATTCGAAATTGATTGGGGCCAATTTAAGTGATTATTTAAGTGGAATTCGTTTTTTGGTGAATAAGAAATTAAGCCTAGTAAACACGTGAAATTATTAGAAAATCGTGTAGAATATTGTGGAATATTTTAGAAAAATATGTAGATGAAAAGATGTGTCTTTTCACGTGAAAGATCAT